TTCCTTACTTTCCTTCATTCTGTATATATGTGTTTTGCTTAGTTTAGTTGTACATTAGCTATAGTTTCATTTATTAAATCCCTTATATTCCCAATTGATTGTCTCTGTGTGCTGCTCACAATTCGGGGTCACTGAATGTTGAATCTTGCTACATGCTAAATTACTGCTAGTACTGCATAAAGTAGGACAGCTACTGTTCCTTGGCCAGGAAAACAATCTTTCCTTGAACTGATAAATGAGTATTTTGTCTGCTCGGTTGATGGACAGATCAAATAATTGTAATATTGATTCTGCTACAGTTAATTCTAAGATCTAATCTAAATATTTATTATTAATTATAGCCAGTTATAAAGTGGATCCCATATGCATATTTTTCCACGGTATAGCTTAAGCCCATGTTTCCCCGGCTGACTCCTCTGCCATCACTTCAAGGGGTTTACAACCACCTCTAAATCTTCCCTATGTACAGAGGCCCTAAGGGGTTAATCCATAGGTTAATCAATATGCGTAAGTGCCACCTGAAATCTCCTTCAGGAAGCATTGGGCGTCCGCAACGTTCCTGTTCCAAGTAGAATGGGTACATTTTCCCAGTGTTTTCCAATCTCACTGAGTGGGTAGTGCTTAGACAACAGTGACTGGCCTTTCTGTTGCGAGCCCTGACCTATAGCTAAAGGCTGCAAGAGGCTCGCACAGGACACTGGAAGGGGCGGCATCTGTGGCACTTTGGTAAGGATTCCCAATTCGTCGGTCACTGACGTGACGTCTCTGTTCCCTCCTTTAGGGAACGTCTCGGTTAAGTATGTAACCCTTGTTCCCTGAAGGAGGGAACAGAGACGTCACGTCCTGTCGCCACAGCTGCTGCACCACCGCTGAGCGGCCGGGTCACCGGCTCGGCTCCTGAGCAAAAACGTCTCCAGGTTACGTATGTAACCATGGTTCCCCGAAGGGAACGAGACGCTGCGTCCGAAGACACTATGGGAACGCCCCCAGCGTGACCATGCTCTGAAACACATGTGTAATCAGTCCAATGGAAGGGCGAGACGTCATAGGCGGGTGACATAGTGACCAGGAAGCTATAAAGGCACGTGAGGTGGAACCGGCTTCAGCTTCAAGGAATGAAGCAAGCGCTCGCAGGGATGCCGGAAGTATGGCTCTGAGACGCAGCGTCTCGTTCCCTTCGGGGAACCATGGTTACATACGTAACCTGGAGACGTTCCCCTTC